TTCATCCTTCATATATGTTACATTACGTCATTTTAAGACTGTAGTGTTTTAATAAAACAATATACAAGGTATATAATTTCACACATCTACATTTATTTTAAAATAATGATAAAAGTACTAGAAAATAGAAGTTTTTACTAAAAATATTAATTTCTGCTCAGTTTTCACAAATTCACAAACTTAATTCAAACTCCGCGAGGATTTCGATGGCCCAAATTTAAAAATTAGGTCACTTTATAATGGGTAATAACAGAATTATTATCACCAAGAACTAGGGAGTAGAACATGCAATGTAGTCCCTTGTATATAGTTCACGTAAAATATTGATTGCAATGCTCAATTAAAATTGTATCAGTAAATGCAATATGCACCAAATGGAAAATGAATTTACGTAATTTCCGCAGCGAAACTCCAATGACGTGATAAAAAACATATAAAGGAACAGTTAGAATACATTTATATAAGCTTACGTAAATGATAATGTCTGCATATAAAATTCTATTATAAGGAAGGAGAACGGTGCCTCGGGGGTGTGATGTTTTGGAACATTAGCCTCCTGCAACACAACGGGCGCCGCTGCTCTTCTAATAGGATTGCGACGTCTAATATCATTATATTCAAGCTTATATCTGAGGGCTTCCTACATATATGCATTTTCAAATAGTACATTTCAAATAACGTTGCGTAAGTTATATTGCTTTATTTATCTTTTAACTTTATTGAAAAATATATGTTAAGATTATTTTTATACGCTCGTTACATAAGATGAATCAGATGAAAGAGTTTTTATTAACGCTATAATTATTAGACCTAAATTGTGTACATTTTTTATAGTTTATCAGTACAGCTGTATTCAGAAAAGTATCGCTTGTGAGTTGCTGACACTTAAAATATCTGTTCATTCCCATCTTAAAGAATAACATACCCTTAGACCAACTTCAGCTGAGTGTTTATCATAGATACTGAAGGTTTGGAGAAGAAACCGCATCAGTCTAGAGATGAGAAGCCTTTTCTATGTTTTGTTGCGCTTGATTTTGTAAAAATATTTGCCCGGATTGTGCTTCTGTGTAACATTATTGGTACATCTGAATTCCTGTTTACCAAATTGTTCTGGTCAGCTGTGTGATCACGAGAATATCGAAACTAAAGATCCTATATTCTTTGACAAGCCTATAAGGAAATATGGGACCAAATGTCCATTTCACTCGTTCAGTAGTGACTTAATAATCTTATCTTGTTAGATTTAATTCTGGACAAGTTGTCTTGATTCCAATCGAATCTGAATAGAGTACATTCTAATTCAGTCAGTAGTTATTATAAGTGAAGGTTAATCTCATGATATGATGCCAGCTAGCGTCCCAAAAGTCTCTCGACTAATCATAGAGGACCCCGGTACCAGACCCCGCGTCGATCGAGCGTCTTCGGCATGTCAAGGCTGACTGCTAACGGTTTTTCTTGACTGTCAATAGTGATTTGTGTTCTTCTACTTGTCTCAGGGGCTTCTTGCTGATGATGTTTTATATCAATTTAGAATCAAGTAATTGTGTTGGTGTTATTAAGTTTTAAAACAGAGTACATTACATGGGAAAAAACTTGTGCTTTTTATAGTATACACACTACACAATATTACAGTGTTAGAACTTTTTATATGCATAGTTATATGGTACCTTTTTAACTTAATATTTATTCTATTTTCAAAACTCTTTTAATATTGTGAGTGACAGTACGGAAAAACGAGAAGTTAGAATAAGAAAGTTTTGAATATGTGCAGTTATTTATAAAAAATATAATAACAAGTTCTATTATTGTGAAATTGAAAAAGATTTTTAATTCAAAAACTATCGTTTAGGTGGTTTTGTTTGCAAAATATGTGATTTTTGCGTCATTTCAAATAAATTAAGTTGGAAATTTGTGTTCATATATAAACTAAAACATATTCTGTATTTTGTAATGAATGAACTGTAATTTATTTAAGATTTTATTTTAATTGTATTTGAGATCTAGGTCTAAAAACTGGTTTTTGAATCTAAACACTGAATAAATAAATATATTTTATTAAAGTTAACAAGTTTCATATAAACATCGGGTTTAATAATCAAACTTTCAGAAGTAATTTAATAGTTCTCCTTTATTATCTATTAGGTACCTAATAAAAAATCGTCAGATAAAATATATTTAAGGATAAGCAATAACGCTTCCACAAATCTTATTTTGTCTTCGTGTGGGTGGATGTTAGGGAACCAATTCCTGGAGAGTGATTGGCCCAACTATGAGTCGCGTCGTCCATAAAAGTAAATACATTTTCTATATCTAGCAATAGCCACATTATTATTAAAAATATATCTCTAAGTAATTGTTTCAATAAATTTTAGGTTTTTTTTATGAAGTAATCTTATTTTGAAGCCTCTACTTTAGCTTAAAAATATATATTTAAAGTGTGAATTGACTGCGGGTACTGACAGTTCAAACTTTGTAAAAATAAAATATCAGTGACATGCATATGCGCTATGAAAATATTGAGAGCAGCGTTTTGTTTACATAGCTTATGAATCGATTGAATAAAAGGAATAAAAAGTTGTGAAAATATCCTTTTTTTATAACGTGTCCTCAATGTAATCATGAGAAATAGCAAACAAAAAAATAAAATCAACATTAGAAGTAGATAAATAAGCCCCAAAAAAAATCACATTATCTACTAAACTTATTCTACGTAATTTCATTATTCTTCGGTCCTTATTTTATGGATGATGAGAAAGAAATGAGTATTTAATACTTTATAGATTTTCTTGTTTCTAGCGATTTATTTGGAATAAACTTTTGAAGTAATATTCTGCTATAAAGCTGCTACTTTAAGGCCAATTCCGAGCTGTTTGGAAGGATCTGTAATGATACTGTTATTTCTCGTTTTAATTTAAACTGACACAGAGTTTTATCATGTTACTTCACCGTTCTTCATTATTATCTGTGTCACATTTCATTTTAAGTATTTTAATATCCTTTCACTCAGTATATATATATTTCTAACTTCCTCTCTAACACTAACCGTCGTCGTAAAACTAATCAATACGTTAATTGAGCTCCATCGTTATAGGATCATGTTATATTCCGTGCTTTGTTATTATAATTCTTTTATGATCGTGATCTTTGCGTGCCGTCGGTGTGTTAATGAATCATTAATATTTAATTTTTGTAACATTTTTTATTGTTTTGCAACGTTTTAAACAATAAGAAAATATTGTTAATTTTTATGCTTGATTAATAATGAAAATAATTAATATATTACTTCAAATTATCTATAACGTTGTGTTAAAGTTATGTCTTGTTTTTGTTAAAAGTCAGAAAACCACAAAGAGAGACGCTGTTTTATAATAATCATACGTTAATATTTTTATAACTATAACATAGTATAAAAACATAAACATTGAATATCAATGTATTGATAAGTAATTTTATCTAATATTATCAAATTCTCGTGACAATGTAATGAGTGCAATGTAATCTAATAATCACATCACTAATTTGAAGGCACGTCCCCGTCCTCATGTTCGTCATGTTCTATGCACTGTGTAATTAGTTTTCGTGCGTGATGCTGGCGTGACTCCCTTCATATGCTAATTAACAATTAGCGTTCGTTCAAAATGAAGCGAGCTTTTACCTGTGACTTATTTCGTCTTTCACTAATTAGCTTTAAAACACTAACTACTGAAATGAATTACATAAATTAACAACAGTTTGAACATTTTCAATTGTAATACAATTAAATATTTTTAAGGTATAACGATTCTGGAGTTACGACTTGTATAGTTTAATTGTAAAATTAATAAATAAAATTCGACACACTTATAAAATTAAATTCGACACATATTAAACTTCATAATGTTATTACATAAGTAAAAAGAATGTATTGCATCATTATTTGTGTTATATCCTCTGTCAGTTTCTTCTTATAAAGCTTTTAGCCACTTTAAATCTATTAGATCTCGTCAGCACGTATATAAAATACATTTCAAGATATAATATACTTCTACGAACAAATTTATATGTAAGATAAAAAACTGTCATTTTTTTGTGATTACTTCTAAAGACCCTTTTAACGTCTTCATCGTGACGTCTCGTTTAAAACTGCCTTTTGATATATTTATGTACCTACTTGGAGCCATGAAGGTCAAAACTACAAATATAACGAGTGTAGTTTATTTAAATCGTATGAGCTATTTAGCAGTTAAAAGAAGGATTAAACATACTTAAACATATATACCTACACACACAGAGACGGTTTGAAACATACAGCGTTTTGAATACTCGGTTAAGTAATAAGATTATACAAATAAATGCCACTTTAATAAAATTTTACAGTAAATGAAAATGTATGAAATTCTTTTGTACATTTTTTTATATATACATACGTATCACTGATACTTTACGATATACTTATTTCCGCTATATCTTTAGACAATAGTTTTTATATAATTAGAAAAAATATTGATCTCTTAAATTTATAACTATTTTATACGTAACAGTATTATGTCTGTTAATAATAATGAATATTATATAAGTACATTGTGTTCTCATCTCGTCTGCCCATGATCACGGTTGCTGATGATAGTCGAAACGTGGGGAACATGTAGTTTCAAAATAAGTAAAAACGCGTAGTAATCTGAATAATTCCGAACCGTTCAAGTACCAATGTGATTATACAGGGTCATATGTACGTTGTAAGAGTATTTACACACCACTCACAGACAGTGAAGGAAAACATCGTGAGGAAACCTAGACTTAAAATTTTAAATTACAAGTTTGAAATCGATATCCCGCCTCGAGCAAGCCTGGTGATTAATGTTCAAACTTTTTCCATGTCAGAAGAGGCCTTTGTGCAGTGGGCTCTGATAGTTTGATGATGATGATGAATTATAGTAATAGTTAAAATAAAAATTATAATAGTAATATTAGTTTCATTTATTATGTGCAGGTTGTATACTAGTATCGAGTAGCGGCGGCGGATGGCGGCCGCGCTCGTCCTGACGCTTCTCGCCGCGCTCCTCGCCGCCGCCGGCACCTCCGGTACTACACTAACAAACATACATACAAAATACACTAAGATATGTTACAAACACAAACAATACATATGTGGATATATAATTCACTTACAATGATGTCAGCTATACTAATTTTCACTTCATTGCTCAAATTGTTATGCCAACTCAGTATTTTATTTCTCCTCATCTAAGTGACACGTTATTATTAAACCTTTGACAAAACATTTGAAAATAGTTTTCTTTAAGTATTATTATTGTTCGCGTGTCGTAGAGCGGTCGCGGCGCACGGCAGGCGAGGCGGCCGCTGTAGATATACATCCAGATGGACCTTTCACACACACGGAGATGTCTCAAGCAGACATCGACGCGGCGGCTCAGGCTGAGGCCGAAGCTGCTGGAGTACCAGCGTGGAGAGACCTGTGGTACTCGTCCCTTGAAGCGTTGAGACGGGAGCCCACCATCAATAACACACAAGAGGATATCATGGTTCAGCTGGGAGGAGTCGCCTTCCTTCACTGTCCTGTGCGCAATCTTGGAGAACTTGGTGTAAGACAATATTTTATAACATGTACATTTCAATAAATCATGTAACCAATGTTTTTTGCTAAATTAACAGGTCATTTTGTAAATTCAAGTCGTAAATGCGGCTGAAGTAATAGCAATTACATCACATTTCCAATATACATAGTTATAATGGTTTATTACTATGTATGTTGTCTTTCAAAAAAGCAAATTCATATTTTTCTTCTCCATTTTGTGACCAGAATTAATTTTAATGTCTTGTATATTAAAATCCTTTATCTTCAGGTGTCCTGGGTGCGCCGCCGTGACTGGCATATCATTAGCTCTGGTGTATTTATGTACACGAATGACGAAAGATTCCAGGTATTTTTTGTATATTATAAAAATGTTCAAAACATTTTTAATTATTTTAATAATTATTTTATAATACAGGTACTTCACAGTGAAGGTTCAGACGACTGGATCTTACAAATTAAATATGTACAAAAACGAGACAATGGAACTTACGAGTGCCAGGTAACATACTGGATATTTAAACATCGAGGCTTAATAAGAGTATTTCAAACCAATTTTTCTGGTTGTTAGGATATTTCGTCATTTTGTATCATATTACTATTTCTAAATTAACGTCCAGGTATCCACTGGGTCCGGTACGTTGTCTCGTCTGGTCCACCTTCATATAGTTGTTCCTGAAGCCTTCATACTAGGAGCGGACGAGTATCACGTTGATGCGGGCTCGACCATTAATCTTGTCTGCATTATTGAAAAGGTATCATAAATCTTCTTTAAATTACACCCGACGGGGATAAGGGTTATTGTGGTAACGTCGACGCTGAAAAGGTTATGCTCTCTAAATCGATGTTTGGGATACAATATGTTAAAGAAATAAAAATTCATGACTCTCTGTTATACAAATCAGTCAATCAATAATGAATCGTGCCCCAATACACATAGGATTTCTTATTAACAATGTTTTGTGATATTTTGTTTCGTTTTGTTAATGGTGTCAAAAAATAAATAAAATAGTAATTGTTATATATACGGTGTCACAAAAATCGCACCTATTCGAAAATCCTGAATAATCATAACTGTCGTGTATATTGAATGCGTCCTCTGTCAGAGCCCAGTTCCACCGCAGTACGTGTTCTGGTACCACAACGCTCGTATGATCAACTACGACGCGTCTCGTGGTGTGACTGTGTCTACGGCCCCCGGTGCTCGCACACAGTCCGCGCTGGCCATCCGAGCCGCTGGTCCCGCACACTCCGGGAACTACTCCTGCCGAGCAGCCAACACTGAACCCGCTCACATATATGTATATGTGTCTGAAGGCAGTGAGTTCAACATATGCTTCTGATTTAGCTGAAACACTTTAGTACTTATACTGTCAAATTTAGTTTTCCGACAAGAAGAATATAAGTCCATCATAGTTAAAAGTTATACTTTTCAGATGGATGACCAGTTATGAAATTGTGTCTTGTATTTGATTTTCTTTCAAAGCAGTACTGACGACTCACACAATAGTATGTCATGTTAATCACTGCCTTGTTTTTAGTATGTTTTTGATCTCAAACACGCATTCAATGTATGATCTCATTAGTGTATGTTTTCTCAGGTGACAAAATGGCAGCGACCCTGAGTCGTAACGCGTCTGAACATCCTCAGAGCCTCGTGTTACTCTACGTTGTTATTTTGTTAGTGTCTCGCCTCGCCACATAGACATTCGTCTAAACGTGGATCGTTGATTCATATTTATTCTGTTATTACGTTTTTCTTTTACAAATCCTCACTAGCAGCAGGTGATCGTGTTCGTCTCGGTGTCACAGAACGTGTGTATATAGAACTAAAGACATTTTCTCACGTCGTCATAAACCCTCCTTAATTAAAAATTATTTATTAGCTATCTAGATTGTATATTAAAACTAATTGCTCAAAGCAAATCAACCTATGATATTATTCTCATTATTGTACAAAATTTTATGAATATAGTTAAACTAAGAGACTAGTTACGTTAAATATAACGTTATTTAATAGTTTTCTTCAAGGTCCTTGTGACGTCATTAATAAATCGGCTCAAATAAATGTTTTTTGTAAATATTTCACACTTGGTGACTGTAAAATATCGATGTCTTCAATTTGTAATCTATACAGTTACGGAACTGAAATATAATGTACTATAACATTTCCCAAACAAATAAATAATAATTCTGTTAAATGGATGTTTCATTTACTTGCTCCTATGTTATATGCTTACCAAAATTCACTTTTTATGTACATATATATATGTAATTGGCGCTGATCATATTTTATTGCACTTCGTTCATTTAGTTAGTTAGGTTATTTTTAATCTACTTCTTTTGTAACAACTAATGGAATTATCTGTTTGTTGTTTCAAATTAACAGTTATATACCAAATATTTATAAAAATACGTATATATAATATAAAACTAGAATTTTTTAAAAGATTTCGCTGTCTGTCTGTTTACTCAGATCAATATTTAGAATCAGTGAACCAAATGTAATGGGAATTTGTCACGCATGAAGGTCATGTCTTAAGGAGTAACTTAACCTACTCTTTAACTAACTTAAAAAAAATCCACTTTGACTATATACTTTTTACGCTAATTACACATAAATTATAGGCTAATTTTGAATCTTATTTTATTTATTGAAAGTTCATAACCCTAGAGAAGTCTAAGGATCACCAAATCAGTATAAAACGAAGATGTCTTTTAGAAATCGAATCAATACTGCAAAAGATGACATGTGTGTATTGAAGGGCGTTTAAAATGAGGACGGAATTAGTATATATTTAAATAAAGAATAAACAATATTTAAACAGATACGAGATATTAATTTCATGAAAAATAAGCAGAAATATTCATAATGATGATGAAATTAATACAACTTTATGTAACAAGCAATAAAAATATAAAGTGGCTCGTAATATAAATATTACAGGAGCAGGGTCAAGTACATGATGAATGACTGGAAATGAACCCTCGGCTAATGACTTTAACGAGTACTTTAACAAATATTATAAACATCGTCAACTTGAATAAATATTATTAGTTGAATAATATTCATTTTCCTTATTTATAAGAAATTAAAGATTGCCTGTAATAGTATATATTTTTTGATCATCTATGTATAAAGAGACGGTTCCCATTATACAGTCATTAAAAGTCAAAGTCACTATAAGTTATAAATTCACAGCTACATTTTCTCTTTTATTATTTCTGTTCTGCAGTAGACACAGGCGGCCGTTCAATAGCGTCACTCAATATTTGTGACTGTCGAGTGTTTAATGATGTTGAAAGCTCCTATTGGATGCGATGCGACATTACTATCCATTTTAAACGTATGAAATCTTTATTAGGTAAATCCAAGTTTAAGTGTATTTTTGCTTAATATTTAACCAAATATAGTCGAATTTGCTTTAATGAAACTTAAATAACAATATTAATACAAAGAAAAGAACAAGAAAGAATAGAAAATTAAAATTAGAGACGGAACGAATAGACTGTAACTGTTTCATAATTTTATCTAAACCAAACAACAGCACTATAAGTTTTAGAGAAACAGTTTACTTATCAACGTAAAAAAAATATATTTACTTTATTAATTTATTAAGTAGTCAAAATAAATTAATAGAAAATTTGTGAATATCAGTTTATTCTCCATCTGTGGAGTCTTCTTCAGCGTTATGTTGTTAACGTTAATGTTATGTGTCGTAAGATAATTCCTAACAAACACTCTAACACAAGTAGTGATTCAAATTAATTTATCAAAGTGGGTCGAGATTCCGATACATTTGATATGACTTTAACAAGAAATCAATATCTTTAGCAATTGGATTTTCGAGCCAATCTCTGTTTCATCTCATTTTAAAACCCTTACCTTACTTTCAACAAGTCTATTGAAATAGTAATATTATTTAAATTGTTTAAATAATATTAATACGCTTAACAACTCATAATGTTATATATGTATTTATTTATTTTTAAAGACCAGTGTAGGATTATCTTTATAAAGTCTTAACTAGCAATTCATATTTTCAATGTTATAACAACTCTTGCTAAAATATACATACTTAGAAAACTGTATTGGATGCCCACGCAATAACTTGTACACTTCAGCAATTTAAATTGGAAACGTTTGTTTTAAAATGATTTTTAACATATTATTACTTAATTATATTCTAATCTGTTGGAGAGCCCAGATTATCTAAAATAATATCTTAAATAATGTGTGAAATTTGTAAGACCAAAGTGTTTAATGAATACAATTGGTAGAAAAAAATCGACAATTTCTTTATATTTCAGAGTTCAACACACTCATACGTTTATCAAAAGTTATAATACTATAAAAAAAGAGAATTCATATTTAATTGTCTTAATATGGATATGTTTGTGAGTTTTATGTTCAAACAAAGTATTCATCGACACGTCTTCACAAGCTAGCGTTTTGATAATATTATATAAAATTTATCAAAAACTACTATTTCTTGATATAATTTTGCTGTATACAATTATAAACAACTTAAGCTCAAATGGAAATTAAAAAAATCAGCTAATATAATACTGTTAAAATAATAAAATTTACTTTAACTTATTTTTACATAACAGTCTATAAATAAAAACATTTTAAAATATGTTCAAGTGTCTTAAAAGTTGTCAATGACTTATTTAACTTGGATAATTTAATAAATATATATAAAATTAAATAATCACGTGGAAACCTTTTCAGCCTTTCGTAGAAAAATACCTAAATCTAACTGCAATGCAAAGTACAAAAATTAAAATGTTAAGTAAACTAAACTAAAACAAAGTTTTAAAATGAGTCATCAAGCTGTGTGTTAATTACAATATTATTCAAATATAATTGTGAGTCATTAAAACGGGAACCTTGGAATATGCACGAAGCTTGGTAAAACTTAACCCTGACCATTTTATTACCTGTATGTTTCCATAAAAAAGTAAAAAGAGACGTATTATAAACACTTAATTATTTTTTATATTCACTATAAAATATGTGTAATTTTATAATAACAAGAATGTGTAATTTTAATTTTTTTGAATAATTTGAAATTATGTTTGGTATTAATATTTTTTTGTAATTATCACTTTTCGATTTTAAAGGACTGACTGCTGGTTGAATAAGACTGAAGAAACTAATTTCATTATGAAATATGGAAAATCTAAATAATATTTTACGAAAAATGTTGATTAAATGTATACATTTTTATTATAATACGTTCAGTTGAAAATGTCTTAATATTTCCTTTGAATACAAAAGTTTAGATTGCTTTTATTCAATTTAATAATTGAGATCCACGTTGACCGTAAAGAAGAAATATTTTTTCAATTTTTATATAACACATTACATAGTTGTTATTCTCTATGTAACTAACAATGATTTCATTGACCGATCTACGTCTGATTACTTAGTAGTTTAAGACCCAAATGATTCCTGTTTATTGTACTGTCTCTGCCTAGAAACTTATTAAGGAGTTTTAATTGCTTGATTTCAAGTAAATTAATCTTTATTTGAGTAATTTCTTTTGTTATATCTATCGAGGTGGATAAACAAGTATTCATACATAAAACAAAAGTGCCTTATTCACAGAAACATTAAGTAATTTATAGGTATGCTTTTTATGTATAATAACAGTCCTATTTAACTAAAACACATAACAACTCTTTGAATACTCAACTTGTGTCTAGAATGAGAAAATATTTAAACGTTAAAATAACAAGTTAAGTATTTTTTTAAGCCCTATTTGTTTTACGATGTTTTCGGTTTTAAAACAACCAGCGTTTTATAAAACTTTCTGTTCGTTGAATTTTAAACGAGTTTTTAAAACTATATCTGAATTTAAAAACTTAAATTAAAGAAATAATAAGTTGGGTTTTTCAAAACAAATGAGAATCTGTAAAATTATTACTACGATTTATAATAAGTTATTTTTAGATCCCGTGTCATTATAGAGAATCTTTAAACACTGTTGCAGACATGAGACGTGACCACATCAGTATTTGTATTTGAATGCAAACTTTAGTGTATCTAATGGATCTTATGACTTCAGTTTACATTTTAAAAAGTCTTTATTTATAACTAAACTTTATAATAAATTTCTATTAAACTTGGAATTCATATACGTCTTAGTAGAGCACTTTTTGCTTACAATGAGAATTATGAACAACCTTCTAGCTGTCAGCATTGTGTCAAATTTGTTGTTGTAAAATAACATAACTTTGTTCATACTAGTTTCTTACTAGATAGCACATCCATTATAAATACAAGAAAGCCAAAGGGCGAAGATATGAACATAATAATAATTTTTGTACGTTTAGAGCTGATCTGTCGCCAGCTCACAGTCATCCATCATACTGAGAAGTGACAGTCACGTCACATTTAAATATATTACTCAATGTCTTCTTGCTCTTACACTACTTAGAAGATATTAAAGATACGATATGGGTATTTTATTGTAGTCCTACATTGTTTATTTATAAACTATTGAAAAGAAAATGATACGGTATATATGAGATTAAATGTTTATCAGTACAAAAAAAAATTCTTGTTTTAATTTTTTTTTGTATATTATATAAATGGTACAGCAAAAATTTAACATACGTGAAATTTGATGTAAAAACTAAGTTTTAAGGGTTCTACTTAAAATAAAATGAAGTCAACGTTTCTAATGTATTTCACAA